GGTTTAACAGAACGTTTCTTGGGTGCCACGCTGGGGCTCCGGCTTCCCGTGAAACGCGCCCGTCGTGGGAGTTTCGGCTTTAGAAACGTGGAACTGTTTCCAGAGGATTCACGGCACTTCGGGGCTTTTAATGGAGCTGTAGAGAGAATGGTGTGAGCTTCCAGAAAACACCGACGAGGGAGCTCACATCCTGCACTCCTCACAAAGAGAAGCAGAAATTTTATATTTAGCAACATCTCTTTTTCTTCTTTTTTTTTCTGCTAAAGAGATATCAAAACGTAAGCATTGAAATACACAGTTTCGGACTGAGACGTTCTCACCGCCCGGGTTTTATATGATATTATTCAGAGATGTTTGTTTCATACGTGCTGAGCCTGGAGAGTGGCATCTCCAGAGCGGTGCTGCTGGATGCTCTCAACAGCAACCCATTAGACTGCTTTAAGGAAAACTGTTCACTGGGAATGACTAAACCTCCTAACAACAGTCATTTGGGAGCTTTTGTACGGAAACAATAGCCCTCTATTTGCCAGAAACTGGAAATGGGGTGATAACGGGTCGCAACTTAATAGCTTTGCCAAGGGGGAGCTCCGTGTGTGAAACGGTGGAATCCCGACTGCTCAAACTTTTGCACAGCCCAGGAGAAGAGAAGAGAAGCTCGCCCGCACTGCTGTTGCAGTTTCTTGGTGTTTTCTTTCTTCCCTCATGAGCCTCCCCTCGGGGAAAATGGATGGCAAGTTCGCTCTGGCTGTAAACAAACAAGTCCTGTGGTTGCTCCTCACTTATTTCTTAACGTTGGAAAGGCATCACGAGAGGAAACCATAGTATGAGGAGCTGGGATGTTGCTTTATAATTCTTTTCTTGGTTTTTGACAGGGGCTCCCATCGGGGAAACTGGTTCCAAGAATTGCCATGAAGCGCCCTGGACCTCCTGAGAGCTCGAGACTCACCTTCTTCCTGGAAAATGCCTTGGCCAGAGAGGCTAGGGTTTGGAAAGTGCCGGTTTTCCAGAACCTCACCTTGAAGGTATTCTCCCCTGCCCTTTTTGGAAGGCCCTAAGGAGCTCTGCAGAAATGCAGTCCTTGCTCCTGCCATCTATGTGCCGGAATGCAAAAGTCATCCAGCACGGATGTGACTTAAGGGGGAGACCTCTGTTTGTCCCATTTTATATTAATGCCTTGTATAAACCAGGCACTTGGCATCTTGTTTTGACTCAAGCAGTTTTGGGAAATGTGGCGGAGCAGGTAAGAGCAAGATAATCGATGCTACAGCCATAAATATGTCACATTAGAGTTAATTGTGCTCAACACCATCTCTGAATTCATCTTCGAGTCCCATCTATTCAAGTCCTTCCTCTCACCTGAATGCATCTTCAAATAAGATGTAAGAAAAAAAAAAATAGTATATTTTGCCTTGTACCTTGGCACAGTCATAAACCTGGCTTCAGCGGCCCCAGCGCTAAGCAAATTCAAGGGCTGTTAAAAAAGAAATACTGAAGTGTAAACTCAAAACCTGCTCGCGACTCCGGTTTCTCTTTACCTGTCGAGGCTGTCTGGATGAAACACGTGCTGCATCAGAGGCTTCACTTTTCCCAGGAGGGGGATATAAGCACACTCAGCACCTCATTTTGAAGAGCTCAGTTCATACCGGCTGTGCGAAGGGAGGGCTGGCTACTTCCCATTCTCTGCTCCAGTACAACCCAGTACCAGGGTTGTAATAACTAGACTGGGCGGGCAACTTGAATGAGTGCCGTAAACTGCTTCGAAATTTGCCCTTGCCCTCGCTCTTGTAGACACAGGCACAACTTTCTTCATTTCAAGCCTCCAGACATCTGAAATGTTAATTAGAGCACTTAGAATGAGTCTTCCTTTGGAGATATGTTAACAAAACCATCAAAGCACTAACTGCGTTTTTTTCTTCTTTTTCTTCCCCTCAGGGCACAGATATCTCCCTGTCGGGTTACAAGAAAGCTGTTCTCTGGATTGCAGAAATAAGTGCTCACTTCCAGTTTTACCCTGAAACATTTGCCTTAGCTACCAGCATCTTCAACCGGTTATTGGCATCGGTAAAGGTAGAGAGAATCTCTGTCAGCTTTTTCTTGGCTGGATTACTGGTTGGGATGTAAGGAGTACGTAATCAGTTTATACACAAAGCGGGTACTATGTTTGGCAGCAGATTTAGGGAGCAGTCAGGGTCTTTGCTGGGGAAGACGTTTACACAGATATATATATATACGTAACAATATAAACTTGAGTGTTTGATGAGGTTCCATAGATGTACAGTCCTCGGTAGAAGTGTCTGTGTGAATTGCAGTCCAAATGCTGTGACGGGTACAAAGAACTCATTATCATCTGATTGTCTCGCTAAACAGAGAGAAAAACAAAAAGCGCCTTATCGCTTCTAATATTGTAGTTTTGAAACCACTATTTTTAATCAAGCCGTGGGGCCAACTTTTTCTGCCATTAAAGGAACACTGAAGTTATGAGTTGAACTGAGCCTTGCAGCTTTGAATTCTATTTAGGTTAATACTGGCACTTGGCAAAAGCATATTAATTAAGGTCTCTGCTCAGAAGAGGAATAACGTTGCATTGCAAATACTGTGGGATCGCAGAGTCTAAAATTTGTGGGATACATGAACAAAAATTGCACCAAGAGGACTTATTTTGCTTCGCTTTGTATTTCCTCACTCTGTTTCCAGCTTCAAATCTTTATGCAGCCAAACCAATTCAGAAGCAACTGTAATTTAAAGGAAAGTCTGCAAAACTTGTGCATCTGTCACAGAATGACAATTACTTCCCCCAAGAACTGTTATCTTCTTTACTCAGTGTTTTCTTCTTCTCCCTTCAGGCCCAATTAAAATATCTTCAGTGCATAGCAATTTCCTGCCTTGTCCTTGCAGCAAAAACCAACGAAGAAGATGAGGTCTGTATGCTTCATTTCAAACACACTAAACTCATCTCGAGTTCACGTTGTTTGCATTTCCAGGTCTTTGGGGAGGATGAAGAAGTGTTGTTTACCCAAGTAGTCCTTAAGGGGTGACGGTAACATTTTCAGTAACATTTTCACTCCCGTTTTATCATTGCTTGGCAGAATTGTGACTTTTACCTGTGTTTGCTTCCACAATGGATGTGTTTCCCTCCTCCTGCGCTTATACCTCTTTCGTCTCTTCAGAATCCATAGCTTACAGTAAAGCTCAGTCTGGGTAGGGACACTCAAGATGCACAGGCATAGCTTTGTGTGCACAGCATGAGATTGTTGTCATCCCCCTGTCAGAGGTCCTGGGAGGGTGAGGCAGGTGGGACAGAGCAGAGGTTCTTCAGAGGGAGCTTAGAACCGATGAGCTTGCTTGGAGCAGAAACTGGTTTTGGAACCTGCTGAGGAAATGACTCAGGTCTGCACCTCAAGTGAGCATGTAAAATCAGCAACTACCCTTGAAGTGGGAGATCACACAGGATAATCTCATGGCAGAAAAACATGCGCAGAATTTGTCAGACGTTCAGAAACACGAGCCAAAAGCAGTTCAGATTGCATTTCTCCTCTTTCTTTCATTCTGCTTTGAAAAAGAACAGGAAACCTGGGAGCTGGAGTCAGGCACGCACATAGCTTTGAACTACCTCTGCTGTCGCGGGATGCTCTTCAGAGCCTTTCTTAGGCTGTGTCACACTGAGGTTTTTCGTCTTTTCCTCTCAGCTAAAAAGGAGAAGCTGAGTCAATGACCACAGGAAGCCAGACAACCACAGACGGCCCCGTGAAACAGGCCGACAGGAAGCCTCCTCCTTGGCAGAGGGGCAAAACTAATTAGAGATCAGCAGCAAGGAAGGTGCATCACCGATGCAGCCGTAAGGAGGCTCACGGGGACCCAGAGGTGAACGGCATCGTTCCCGCCACAGGGCGCATTCGCAGCTGGCTGCCCTGGGGACCAGTCTTCATTTGGGGTGGGAGTTACCTAGGAAAGGGCTCTCCTGGCCGAGCATCCTGCTCAGCGCTTCGGGATGTGCATGAACTTGTCAGATCCAATACAGAGAAACACACAGAGCTCTGTGTAGGATGTTGGCTTCTTTATTTTTTTTTTTAATTTTTTTTTTTTACAGGTAATACCATCGGTGAAGACGCTCGCAGTGCAGAGTGGTTGTAAACGCTCTCCAGCTGAGATCTTGAGAATGGAAAGAATTATAATAGAGAAGCTTCACTGGGATCTTTACACAGCAACACCAATGGATTTTTTAAACATTGTAAGCACTAATTTTTCTTTCTTGAAAGAAACAGCTCCTTATCAAATAAGACTAGACAGGTAATACCATCGGTGAAGACGCTCGCAGTGCAGAGTGGTTGTAAACGCTCTCCAGCTGAGATCTTGAGAATGGAAAGAATTATACTAGAGAAGCTTCACTGGGATCTTTACACAGCAACACCAATGGATTTTTTAAACATTGTAAGCACTAATTTTTCTTTCTTGAAAGAAACAGCTCCTTATCAAATAAGACTAGAAAACACAGATGCACACACATACACACACCCACGCATCCCTCCCAAGACATCTTAGCTAACTGCAAGTCTTTTGAAGAATGTTACAGGGATTTTAGGTATTTATTTATTTTTAAAATTTTCTACTATTTCAAACTGTTCATTTTGCTCAAAAAAAATATACCCATCCTTAAAGGACAACTAAAATGGACATTAAAAAGATTCTTAATGCACAACTATATGCCATTATTTTTTTTCTTTTTTAATACACACTGCAAAAATATTTCTAACTATTTCCATTCTATTAATACTGTACATAGAAAGCTGTCAGAGTTTTGCTACATTTCACACACAGGGGTTTTTTTCTTAAACCATTTTTCTTTTCATCCTTGCTTCAGGCAATGAGACTACCCCAACCTGGCACTTAGTTCACATTGCAGTCACTAAACATTTGATAGAAACAGTGAAACTTTGTCTTCAAGAAACGATCATGTGCAAGTAAGGCAAAAAATCACGTGATACGAACACATCCTGGATCCCTTTTTTAAAGTTATGTGCAAATATTAAGCCATCTTAGGCTGCCGATTGTGAAAACTGCCTTTCTTAGGTGCTTGTTTCCTCAGTAAATTCAGAGTGCAGTCATTAGGATTGGTTTTATTCAATTCATATCTGCTGGCCTGAACTGAATCTCCTGGATAGCGAGCTGGATGACGTAGAAACTTCAGAAATTGTTAGGAAACACAGACCTTGTACATTCATTATAAGCTCGAAAAAACCCAACAGTTCAACGGTTGGCAAGTACGAACACAAAAAAAATAAGGAAGTGGGAAAACCCTTTAGGTTTCCTGCTATGAGATGAAATTAGTCTGTACCTCTGGTTGATAACATATGAAAACATACAAAGTTCACTGACCTCTGCTTTTTTTTCATATATATATGTGTCTATATATATATATATATACTTTATCTTCTCTCCAGTTCCATGCCATGGTGATGTCCAACTGGCCCCAGCTACTACAGGGGCTGCCTCAGATGAATCCTTCCCGCCACGTTGCGTTCTTGACCAAACAGCTACAGCACTGTATGGCCTGCCACCAACTGGTGCAGTTTGAGGGCTCCACGTTGGCTTTGGTGATCATCACCTTGGAGCTGGAGAGGCTGACTCCTGACTGGTTTCCTGTCATTACCGGTCTGCTAAAAAAAGCACAGGTAGGAATCAAAATAGCCTTGGGGTCGCAAAACCGTGAGGCAGGGGTACTGAGAAATGAAAGCACGTGCGTTATCGACAACCGATACCGCATCCCGGCAGCCTTCCGAGAAGCGTGCGTCCACGTTCTGCCTTCGCTATTGCTAACAAAAAGGGAATAAAACTGCAGTTAAGGGCTGGGACCGGGGACAGGGCCTCCCCTTTGGCAGGGAAGGGAGGTTTCCAAATCGCTTTGTGGCAGAGAGCCCCTGTGTCCTGAGCAAGGAGAGATTCTCTCGCAGCAGGAGCGTCTGAGAGCACCAAAAAACCTGCCCACTGCAGCCCCAGCCTCCCACCGACACTGTGAAAACTTCTAGGTACGGTTACATTGCTTTTAAAAATAGCCATTTTGGCTTCTAAGGATACATATTAAAGGCAAGCTCTGTTGTTTTGGGGTTTTTTAACATTTGTTCTCCAGTTCCATAAAACACGTGCCTTATAAGAGAGCACATCTCGAAGGCTCAAGACCCGGGCTGTCAGCTTACCATCGACCCATGTTGTAGTTTTGAATTTGTCTGAAGCAACCTGGCCTCCTGCTGCTCCTCCTGACTTGTGCCCTCCTAAAAAGAGGGGAGCGCTTGCTCACCTTTCTGTGTGGTGGTTTGGGAGCTCCTGGTTAAGTGTTTTCCATCAGGGCCATGACACATATTGCTGATACTCATCTGCTGAGGTATCCAACACAGCCTGTCCCTGCCCTTCCCCTTATTAAAGGAGCAGTGGCCAGGAGAGTAATTTATCGTGAACTTACCAAAAATATCTGTGTCTTTCC